ATATCTCTCTCTCCGTCTTTCTCTGTCAATCTCTCTCCATCTCTCTCTGTCCCTCTCCCCCTCTCTCTCTTGCCCTCTCTTTCTCAATCTCTCTCAATCTCTCTCCCTCTCTTTCCCTCTCTTCCTCTCCCTCTCCCTCCCTTCTCTCTCTCTCTCTCCTCCCTCTCAATTTCTCTCTCTCTCCCTCCTTCTCTCTCAATCTCTCTCTCTCTGTCCCTCTCACTCTCACTCTTTTTCTCAATCTCTCTCTCCCTCTCCCTCTCTCGCTTCTCTCTGTCTCTCCCTCCCTCCCTCCCTCTCTCTCCCTCTCTCTCAATTTCTCAATCTCTCTCTCCCTCCCTCTCTCTCTATGTGAGTCCTGTCCCAGCTTGAATCTCTAAGCACGAACGAGCCTTAACACCATTCGGTCGAGAAAGGTATAGTTTACTAGAAGTCAAGTGGATTGCAGTGGTGCAAAGCCAGAGCTGAAATTCGCGCGCCCAATTCCTCAAATGTAACTTTCCCCCTTCCAAGTCACTTCCCATCCTCCTCCTCTCTCTGTCTGTGTGTGTGTGTGTGTGTGTGTGTATTTCTTCAGCCCATCCACCCAGCCTTTGTTGAGCCACAAGGACCCATCGGTTTGACTTCTGGGAACGACACCCCCACCCGGCCTATGCTGATCTTCTCCATCTTCCCTGCCACAGTCCCAAGGAAGGCCTTCCACAACCCCACTTCCTCCTCTTTCCTGGTTCCCCTGGCTCTCCCCACAGGCACCTCCCCTTTCCCCCAAGGCTGCTGCCCCTCTCCGATCTCACCATGCAGGACTTTGCCTTCCGGGCAGAAGCACCCCTCCACGCAGGAAGCTGTCTCCATGGGGCAGTGTTCGGCGGGCTCCAGGCCGAAGTTCTGGCAGGTGGGCGGGCAGGCCGGGCCGCAGGGGTCGTACTCCATCCCATGATCACACTGTAGGGCTGTGAGCAAATGGAGGAGAGGGTGGGGAGGCGGACAAAGCCCGGGCCAGATCTGGGAGAAGGTTTCCTTTCAACTTGGCAGATCGTTCCCTGGACGGTTTTCATCCTCAAACCCAGAGCAGTACCAGATGCGGTGGAATGTAGCCTGGATTCCCAGGAGGGAGGGGAGAGCCGCATTCCAGAGGACCGTGAGACAGCAAAGCTTAGATAGTTTGGTTAGGAGGAAGAGAGTTTTTAAGACGGTTCCTCCCTAGCGATTCCCAGAGCACAGGTAATCCTGGGACTCACAACCACAATTTAACCCAGAATTGCAATCATTAAGTTGAGGGTGAATGTTTGTTCTCCGAACGTTTCGTTACCAGGCTAGGTACCCATCACAAGCCTCTCACAGATCTCATACCTGACTCATCACAAAGACCCTTACTTGGCACAACCACCCCTGTACCCAGGGGTGGGATTCAGCCGGTTCGCACCAGTTCGGCAGAACCGCTAGCTAAATCCTTAAGTCCGTTCTAGGCCTCAGAGGCCTGCATCCAATAAGACAGTGGTTCCCAACCTTTTCTATACCCCGCACCCCTAGAACACTTCTGATATATTCTCCCACCCCTTACAAAAGTTCAAAACAAATTATGCATATACACTATACTTTTGAAACCTCTAAACACGAGTTTTCGTACCCCCTGGGATATCGTCTCGCACCCCCAGTTGGGAACCGCTACAATAAGAGAACTGATTGTTCTCTGGCCCTTCCCTGACCATTCTCTATGGCCCATAGCTCCCCGGCCCTTCATCCCTGCCATTTGACCCGGGCCTTTGGCTGCACTGAACAAATAGCCCCCTGTTGTGATTCCTTGCCAGCCAGTGGACCCGACAGCTGAGTCTGAGGAGGAGGGGTCTGGAGTGACATCAGAGTCAGAGGAAGGCTCTCAGGAGCTCCAAGACTTACACTCAGATGAGGAGCCCGGCCCCTCTACTCGCACTCAGGCTGAGACACAGCTGTGCTGGGACCTTGAGTTGGACAGTGATGAGGAACAGCTGGGACAAATCCAGGATGCACGAAAGCGCCGGCAAGAGAAGTGAGCAGGACAGAGGAAATGCAATGGGGTGGCTCCAAAGGCAAAGGAGAAGGCATTAGGAAAGCCACGCCTTGGCTGCATCATAAAAGGGAAGGTGTGGGAGGTGTTGAGGATCGAGTTTCTGTGAACTGTGTTTTGTTTGCCTTGGACATTGACTCAGGTCTGTGGGTAATAAAAGGGGTTGGTTTTTCTTGCGGTTCCTGCTTGCTTATTGGAAGAGGGGTTTCTCCTTGTGAGCATAACTCCATAGGCTGGGACAGAACCCCCCCCCAGCCAATCAGGTGGTGGGCAGCAGCGATGGCACTGGGGAGGGCGACCGAGGGGGCTGTGGGTGGGGGGGACAGCATGCCGTGCGATTGGTGGCAGGCTGGGGGAGAGGGCAAGAGGTGCAGCGGTGCGCGATTGCTGGCCTTGGGTGGTGAACGGTGACAGAGCGAGGGTGGCGACGCCACAGATGGGGGAAAGCGGGACGGCGCGAGGCTGCTGTCATTGGCGGGGAGGAAAGGGGATGGCATGCGGTCATCACCCCCACCACCCCCACGGCACCATCGCTGCCACTCGCCACCCGATTGGCTGGAGGTATTTGTCCCATGCAGCCAAAGGTCCAGGTTAAATAGTGTCTGGGTGAATTGGCAGGGATGAAAATATTGGGGCGGAAGGCCAAGGGCCCATTGACCATGGATAATGGCCGGGGGAGGGCCAGGAGGAGAAAAGCTGGCTGTAAATCAATTGAGTTGGGTGCGACCAAGTGTCAGTGCCTAAATATCCTAGACCCCCCAGGCAGATGTGGGCAGCAGGAATACTTTGCTTGCTAAGCTCTTTTGCTTAGTCAGAGGGGTCCTCTGAGCCTCTGAGGGGCTTCTGGGAAAGGCCACCCCCCACGAGACCCCCATCCCAGAGAGGGTCTTTTCTTTCCAGCCTCCTCCAAAGCTTACGGCAGAGTTCCTGGCTTCTCCAGCGTACGGGGACTCCTCGCTGAATGCACTCCTCGGCGTACGTCGCAATGGCTGTGCAGAGGCACTCACAGTCCCCGCCAGAGTCACACCTGAGCGGAGAGGAGGCAGAGAGGAGATCAGCGGGGAGGGGGGCAGCAAGTCCCCAGGCACCCTGCCCTGTCACCAAGGACCCACTGATTTATTTTATACGGCAGAGCGAAATGCAGCTCAGCGCGTAAAATCCACCGAAAACAACCTATAAAACGGGCACCAAAGGATAAAACACCGGAGCAGTGAATTATTTTAAAAACACTGCCATTCAAGTGATGAATAAAATTAAACACGGGCAACGTAGACCTTAGCTTCCTCATGGTGCACACCTGGCAACCTGACTTTGTCACAGCTAATTCAGAGTTCCCCAACCTTTCGGAGTTGGTGGCTCGGAGTGGGGGGAGGGGGGGAAGAATGAATGGTTTTGTGGGAGGGGTAAATACGTGCATGCCCGTGCGTGCTCACAAACACTTGTCACTCGCACGAAAGAGGCTGCAAACGCCTGCGACGATGCTCACGCGACGGGGGCTGCAAACACCCCTGGGGACTCTCCCGCAAGTGTGGCTGCGAATGTCCACAATCCTCATGCGAGTGTGGGGCCGTGAATGCTCACAGCGATGCACACTCAAGAGAGGCCTCGAACCACCCACCGCGATGCTCATGTGAATGGCGCTGCAAGTGCCCGTGATGATGCTAGCGTGGGGCGCCATGAAGGTCCACAATGCTCGTGGTGCCACTTGCACAAGGGGAGGTGTGTGTGCACGCAAGCACGCATGCATCAGCCAGCCACCCACATAGCTCAATAGGCTGCAGCCCGGTAGTGGGCTGTGACCCAGAGGTTGGGGACCCCCTGAGCTAAATAGTCTACAAACTCTGTCTTTTGGACCTCACAAGGGTCTCCCAGTGAGAGGAAGAAGCGTGAATGCTGAAAATTAAAAACAATGGCTCTTTCCGGGATCCCCTTGAGTTTCTGCGACACTCCAAATGTGGTTAAATCTGTTAGGGCAGTGGTTCTCAACCTTCCTAACGCTGCGACCCTCACAAACTCACTTCACAAATGTCTCAACAACGGAAATGTGGGGCTCCCTTGTGGTCGTACGTCGAGGACTACCTATATTTCCCTGCGGGCGGGGGGCAGGAGGAGGAGCAGGGTTTTCTCACTCTCATTCTTTCTCTCTCTCTCTCTCTCTCTCTCTCTCAGTTTTTCATTTTCTCTCTCTGGCGCGTGCGCTCTGCCTCCTCTCCTGCGGCTGGATCGTGCGCCAGGCAGGCCGAGGGTGCATGCAGGCCATCGCCCAGCAATCATCTCTGACCGGGAGCACCACGCATGCATGGCGCCGCCCCCTGCACCAGCTGAGGCAGAGCTGGCAAGGCGCCGCCGCCTGCGATTTTATCATGTGGAGGGCCGTGTCTCCCCCTCGGCCTGCCCACCTGCCCGCCCTCGGCCACACCGCTCCATGCCGTGGTGCTTCTGCATCGTGATCGGCCGTCTCAGCAGCAGCAGCAGCAGGAGCTGCAGTGCCTGCCTCCTCGCCGCCCTCCTGCCCTGCGCCTCGCTCCACGCGGCCCACCCCTCCTCCTCCGCCAGCACCCGGCCTTACCGCCCGACCCTGCCGGACCCCGGCCTCGGCACCAGCATGGATGGACCCGCCGCCTGGAGACGGATAGAGGAGCGGTGTCCCTATCTGCCCCCCCGACCTCTCCAGCTGACCCTCACTCACCCGCAGGCATCGAAAACACACCACTCATAGAACTGTTGGCAGGGCAGTTCCTCACGGCAGCGGGCGAAGAGATCCTGAAGGAGGATCCCGCAACGCTTCCGAGCCCACGTCGCACGGTGAGAATTCACCTGGGGTGGGGAAGAGATATGGAGTTGGGAGCGCCGGTGTCCAGTTTCCTGATTTGGCGACCACCGAGGGACCATCCAGATACCTGGAAAGCGCGCGTCCATCCAGTCCTACCAGGGAGTGACTCCCCCCCCATTGGTGCAAATCACAGGTCATACCGTGCAGGGATGCTCAAAGTCCTCCGCGTTGACTTCAGGACACAGGAGGCTGATGCGCCAGGAGTTGCCGAAAAGGTCTGCCGTGGGCTCCACAATGCCTTGTTGGCTGGAGAAGTCATTCTCTGCGTCGCCGTCAAAGTTCCCGCAGAGTCCTGCCACTCGGCCTTGATATTTGGCCTCCAGTTTGATGTAGACCCGGGTGCCTGAGGAAGCAGGGAGAGGATGAGGGGCTGAGGCCCAGCAGTGAGGAGTTGGCTTCATTTTAGGATCCTGATCTGGGCTTAGGATCCTGAGACAATCTACAGCGGCTTCATTTTTTTTCCCGAGAACTATCCCATCTCAGCCCTGAACAAGGTCCATCAAGACCTCCACAGCATGAGAGATGAGCTCCACACCAGACAAGGGTGTCGAGAGTAAAAATTTGGTGGCTACATGCCTTTATGTTTTCATCTTGCCATTAGAGCGAGGGGGGGTGAGAGAAAGGATGCTTTCGACTGGGTTACAGTTCTTCGGACGTTTGCCGAGACAAGGCTGTCTGGAAACCTTTCAAGGACATTCCAGCAGGTGTGAAGACAATAACAGACAGTTCTCCTAACAAAGTGAATGTGTTCACACGATCTATGTAGCCATCTGGGGTTGGGGGTTGGGCTGGGAATGTCATTGTTGTATGCTGGAGTTAGAGCAGAGGTTCCCAACCTTTCTGGGTTGGTGGCCAGGAGGGAGAGGGAGTGGCAGGCGCCTTTACATGTGCATGTGCACATGCAAACAGGGATGTGAGCGTGTGTGAATCGGAAAAGGGGCAGAGAGCATTCATGCGATGCTCATCGCAACACTAGAGCCCATGTGATGCGGCAATGCTAGCAAACTGCGCAACGCTCATGGCGATGCTAGCGTCTGTGCATTTGCGGCGACATTTGCTACGATGCTAGCGTCTGCACAATGCTTGCAGTGCGAGTGCCCGGGCAGCACGCACAGTGACGCTAGTGTCCGTGTGAGGCGCACAGTGATGCTAGAGCCCATGTGACACGGCAACACTAGCACAAGTGGGGGGGTCAGAGCGCGCACACATATGCATGCTCTGGCCAACCACTTACGCGACCCAGTGGCCATCAGACCACAGCCCAGTAGTGGGCTATGGCCCATAGGTTGGGGACCTCTGAGTTAGAGGCATTGGGATTTTAGAATGAGTTTTCCTTCGCCTATAGCACTGGTGGCGAACCTTTTAGAGACCGAGTGTCCAAAAACTGCCCTGCCCCTCCCCGTCTCCCGCTCTGCCCCACCCCCACCCCACCTGCCTGCCTGCAGGACCACCCGCCTCCACGGCCCACCACAGCAGATCACCCAAGTGTCCTAACAGCACCATGGCGACCATGCCCTCTGCCCGCGCCCGCAGCATCTGTGCGCGATGGGGCACGAGGGCAGAGTCTTGTCCCTGCTGCCTGGCTGCCATGTCTTTGGCTGCACTGCTCTGCACGGGCCGCACCTGGAGGTGACTCTCTGGGGGGGGCTGCTGGTGAGGAGCCAGACGCAGGGGGAGGTGGGGCTGAGGTGATGGCACGCGTGCCCACAGAGAGGGCTATGAGTGCCGCCTCTGGCACGTGTGCCATAGGTTCACCCCCACTGGCCTATAGCATGTCATGTTTTCAATAAACCAGTATGTTTTTCAGCAATGAAAGTATTCAACTTTATTTGGATATTTGAGCTGGAGGTTGACGGAGGATCTGTGGAGAACTCTGGGGGAGTGTGCAGGTTGTGTCTCCTTCTGGACACTGCATAGACCAGGGCGTTTCAACCTTTTCACCCATTGTACCACTTTTAGGATATAGCAATATCCGAGTACCACCAGTCACCTAGCAAGGTGTCAAAAACTTGATGACCAAAAAAAAAAAAAGGAAAAAAGTGATAAAGTACAGGTAGTCCTTGACTTACAACAGTTCACTTAGTGACTGTTCGAAGTTACAATGGCACTGAAAAAAGTGCCCCCCAAGCCACAGCCGAGCAAGACACCTGCCTGCCCACCCAGCGGCGCTCTTCCTCCTGTCCGAGGTTTTCATTGTTGTGAGCATTTCTGTTGAGGATTGGCAGCGGGGGTGGGATGGGGGGGGATGTTTGGTTTTTATTCTCCCCATTTGCTGGGTGGTTGCAGCAGGTTTTGGTCACTTCACATGATCCTGGGACACTGTGACCGTCATAAATATGAATCAGTTGCCAAGCATCTGAATGTAAATCACAAGAGCCTGGAGATGCTGCAACATTCCAGCCGATCGGCGCTTCTTCTGGGCTCAGAAGTGCCAAGATCAGTGCCAAGCTCCAGCTGAAACCTGGCTCTGATCCTGGTGCTTCCACTGAGCCCTGACAGCCCCGAAGAAGCGCCGATCAGCTGGAAAGCGGCACTGATCCTGGCGCTTCCGCTAAGTCCTGACAGCCCTGCAGCTCCAGCCGTCTCTCGCTCAGGCTTGTGCGGTGCTGCCACCGGTTCAGCTCATTCCCCTTCCCTGCTACCACTTTTCTAGGATGGTCGCGTACCACCTGCCAGGTGCCAATGTACCACAGGTGGTACCCATACCACTGGTTGAAAAGCCCTGACATAGACAACCTGTCAATTGATCCAGTGGCCTACGATGCATAGTAAGCTGATACCTTGTTCAGTCCTGGTAGGCCTCATGTGTGCTGCAACAAACCTGGATCTTCTGTGTAAATCCAACTAGCAGGTGTCGCACACTGAGGGAGTGCCAAGGTGGGCAACCTTGAGATGTTCCTCAGGAATTGGGGAGTGCCCCCCCGACGAAAGAGAGGATTTAAGAGGCTCCGATTGGGTTAAAACTAGCGTGTGGGAAGGGAGGACCTCGTAGCCAGCCTCACCTCCATCCCAGAACACCGTCAGCCCCGTCTGAGAGAGGAGCACCAGAAAGAGTCCAGCTCTCTCCAAGGTCAGCCCATTCCCGCTGTAGGTCTTGGGGGGCCGGACCGAGACGCCGTTCACCGTCACGTCCTTTCCTAGCACAAGGAGAGAGAGGGAAGGTCACAAAGGATGTGGCAAAGCTGCTGGGGGGGTACGGTAGCCTCCTTAGGTGCCCACGGCTGTCTTACCTCGGAGCAGGTGAACTGTCATGCTGCCCATCAGCACCACCACGGACTTGGTGCAGGTGGTGCCGCTGGTGCCGCAGGGTACGTTCTCGGCTGTGACGGTGAAGGCGCCGCTGTTCTCGCGGACCAGGACGTACTCGCAGTCCCCTAGGAAGGTGTACGCCCGCCCGTCGAAGGTGATGTAGTGGGGGTCTCCGGTGGCCACGCAGGTCGCGGCACAGCGGTGGTGGCTGCATTCCCAGCGCTGCTTTCGGCAAATGCTGGGGAAGGAGGGAGGGATGGAGGGAGAGGACTGTGAGCCCCTGGCACCCCTGCTTTGGGGAACGGCATGCCTCCCAGTCTCCCCTCGCAGGCCTGAGCAGACGGGTCCTCACCAGGTGTTGCAATCCCTGGCGATGGTCTCGTTGGGCAGATAGAGGTGGCCATTGTGGTGACAAGGACATTCCTCTGGGGGGACACAGTGCTCGTTCTGCAAGAGGACAGAAGGGACGAGGTGGAGGGTCTGCCTTTGTCTCCCTGAAGAGACCCTGCCTGGCTAAGTGAGCAAGAATGCAAACCACGCTGGTCCGGGATTAACGCAAAGATACAACAAGGGGACCACTCAGCGGGTTCCCAAGTGCGATGAAGCTTGGACGAATCTGTTTAGTTGATGCCCTCCGTGGAGTGTGCAAAGCAGGAGCAGAGCTCGTGTACGTGCCACTGCTTCTAATTGGAAAGATTGTCAAGCGTACCTCTCCTTTGCGTGGCTATTTGTGGCTGGGTGCAAGCGCGCATCAACAAAACTGTGCACCTGTTGTGGAGCCAGTACAGGGATAGGCATCAACGTATGACCACAATTGAGTCCTAAACGGCTGCGAAGCAAGCATTTTACAACCTCCCTTGTCACCGTTGTTAAGTGGATCCCTGCGGTTGTTGTCAATCACAAACGGTCGTTAAGTGAATCTAGCTTCCCCGTTGACTTTGTTCGTTGGGAGGAGCAAAGGAGAATCACATGGTCCAGGGACGCCGCAACCGTCATAAATACGAGCCAGTTGCCAAGTGTCTGAATTTTCATAAGGCGACCTTGGGGGATGCTGCGACCGTTGTTAAGTGTGAAAAATCACTTTTCGAGTCCCGTTATCACTTCAAACAATCACTAAATGAATGGTTGTACGTCGTTTTCTGTTTGGGGAGAATGGTTCCCCATGATTCTGAGCTGCCTAAAGATTTGGTTAAAGGACAGTCACTTGGCTAGATAAGTAGTCATCCACTTACAGCCGTTCACGTAGCTATAAAGGCACCGAAAAAAGGGCACTATGAGCATTTTTCACACTTATGACCGTTGCAGAATCCCCGCGGTCACGCGACGAAAATTCGAGGACTACCTGTAATAGATCAAGGAAGGATATGGGAGAGTCCCAGGGGATCCTTAGATCTCTCCCCAGCAGGAGAGTTTGGAAAATTCTGGAAAATCGCCTTGCTGTTCACCTGCGCCCGTCCCCACCCGCAATCACAGAAGCTGCCCCGGCCCCGCCATTTGCCTGCGCATGCACTCACCCGCCCCCCCCAATCGGAGAAGCCGTGTTAGCACTGTTCATCTGCCGCCCCATACCACAGCTGCTCTCTCCCATCACACACTGCCCCTGCAGGACCACGGCTTCTGCCTGCCACCCAATTGGCTGGTGGCTATTTGTCCTGTGCAGCCAAAGTTTGCCTCGGCAAAAGGGCCAGGCTGAAGGGCGCAGGGTGCAGGGCCACGGGCCCATTGGTCAGGGAGAATGGGCAGGGGAGGACCAGCTGAGGAGGAATGCTGGCTGTAAATGGGCTGAGATGAGAGGCGGAAAGTGAAGGAGGTGTGGCCAAGGGTCCGTGCCTAAAGGTCCCGTTCCGGTTGTACATTCATCGAAGTCTGGCGCCCTACGAGCAATTCCCTCAACAGACACACTGACGAAACCCTCAGAATCCAGCCAACCAAAGACAGCACTGACTCTCAGCCATCCCGCGCAATCCCCCATCAACCAGCACTTCACCTCCCTATGATCTTCACCTGATGTGACTTCCCCATCGCAAGAGCCATCACCAGCCTCTCACTGAGGAATCACACCTGACCACTCAACACACCCACACCTGAAGCCCTTCTAAACAGAAGAGCGCTGACACAGACATCCCCTGAATTTCGCCGAAGATGTTACTTAGCCTGGTGATGAAATGTTCAGAAACCAACCCACAAGCTCGGACACGGGTCAGCAACCCGTAGCTCCAGAGCCGCATGTGGCTCTTTGAGCCTTCTCCTGTGGCTCCCAGCCTACTCTGCCATTTGCAGAGAGAGAGAGAGACAGAGACAGAGACAGGGAGAGGCACTTCACTTCACTTCTCTCTCTCTCTCTCTCTCTCTCTCTCTCTCTCTCTCTCTCTCTCTCTCTCTCTCTAAAAGAGAGTGGCCTCACACTGTTCGACGAGCTGACAAGCTTATTGGGAGGGGCTCCTCCCTTTGCTGCATCTCTGCAAGACGCAGGAAGCAGGAAGCAGGAAGCAGGAAGGGCAGGAGGGAGCCAGCCCAATAAGAATGTGTCAGCTTGTTGGAGAACAGCTTGAAGCCAGCTTGCCAGGTGAGCAGAAGATCGGAGAGAGGGAGAGAGAGAGAGAGAGAGAGAGAGAGAGAGAGAGAGAGGGAGGGAGGGAGGGAGGGAGGGAGGAGAGAGAGGGAGAGAGAGAGGGAGAGAGGGAGAGGGAGAGAGATAAAGGAAAGAGAGAGAGAGAAAGAGAGAGGAAAGAGAAAGAGAGAAAGAGACAGAGGGAGAGAGAGAGGAAAGAGAGAGGGGGAGAGGAAAGAGAGAGAGAGAAAGGGAAAGAGAGAAAGGAAAGAGAGAAAGAGAAAAAGAGAGAGAAAGAGAAAGAGAGGGAGAGACGAAAAAGAGAGGGGGAGAGGAAAGAGAGAGGGAGAGAGAGAGGGAGAGAGATAAAGGAGAGAGAGAGAAAGAGAGAGGAAAGAGAAAGAGAGAGAGAGGGAGAGAGAGAGGAAAGAGAGAGGGGGAGAGGAAAGAGAGAGAGAGAGAGAGAGGGGAGAGAGAGAAAGGAAAGAGAGAGAGAGAAAGAGAGAGAGGAAAGAGAAAGAGAGAAAGAGAGGGAGAGAGAGGAAAGAGAGAAAGAGGGAGAGAGAGAGGAGAGAGAGAAGAGAAAGAGAGGGAGAGGGAGAGAAAAAGAGAAAGAGAGGGAGAGAGAGAGGGAGAGGGAGAGAGATAAAGGAAAGAGAGAGAGAAAGAGAGAGGAGAGAAAGACAGAGGGAGAGAGGAAAGAGAGAGGGGGAGAGGAAAGAGAGGGAGAGAGGGAGAGAGATAAAAGAAAGAGAGAGAGAGAAAAAGAGAGAGAGAGGAAAGAGAACGAGAAAGAGACAGAGGGAGAGAAAGAGGAAAGAGAGAGGGGGAGAGGGAGAGAGAGAAAGGAAAGAGAGAGAGAGAAAGAGAGAGGAAAGAGAAAGAGAGAGAAAGAGGGAGAGAGAGAGGAAAGAGAGAGGGGGAGAGGAAAGAGAGAGGAGAGAGAGAAAGGAAAGAGAAAGAGAAAGAGAGGGAGAGAGAGGAAAGAGAGAAAGAGAGAGAGGGAGAGAGGGGGAGAGGAAAGAGAGAGAGAGAGAACTCATGCACAGCATCCTCTATTTCTTTTTAATTAAACTCTTCAATCAAGCTCCCCACTCCTTGTGCGCGCACACGCACGTGCGCACACAGGTTTTGCGGCTTCCGGTGTTTTCTTTTCTCTGGGAAACGGGTCTTTGAGTGTTTAAGGTTGCCGACCCCTGAGCTCGGAGAACAAACCTCCCCCCTCACACTACCAAGGCAGGATACGGGAGATCCCAGGGGGGATCTATCAATCTCTCCCAAAGCCGGAGAGGTGGACAGTCGATAATTCCCGAATGGTAGGAACGGGTGTTTCTGGACTGCTCACCAGGAAAACGGCGCCAGGAGGGCACACGCAGCCATCGGAGGCGCCGTCGCAGCTGAGGTTACTCTGGAGACTCTCACAGGTGAGGAGGCAGGCGTCGATGGCGTAGATCAGCTCTCCGGGACAACGCACCGCACTGGGACAGGTCTCCTCTGTGCAGCTCCAGGCCCCGTTCACACAAACGCTGAAACACAGGACGTAGCGATGTGAGCAATGTAGACGCCAGCTCTTTTCCCCTCGGCGGACGTCGGAAGCCCTCGCGAACCGCCCGCCCGCTCCCCCACGTTGCCCAACTTCACCANCCTCGACTTACAACAATTGGTTGAATGACCTCTCGAAGCTACAACGGCACCGACCAAAGGGGATTTAGGACCGCTTTTCGCACTTACGACCACTGCAATCCCCAGGGTCCCAAGATCAAAATTTAGACGCTTGGCAAGTGACTCGTATGTACGACGGTCGTGGCGTCCCGGGGTCACGTGATTCCCCTTTGGCGAAATTGTCACCAGCAAATTCAATGGGGAAGCTGGATTCACTTCCCGATCGTGTTACTTCCAACACTGGAAGTTTTGAAGAAGAGACTGGACAGCCATTTGTCTGAAATGGTCTAGGGTTTCCTGCCTGAGCAGGGGGTTGGACTAGATGACCTCCAAGATCCCTTCCAATTCTAATTCTAATTCTAATTCTAATTCTAATTCTAATTCTAATTCTAATTCTAATTCTAATTCTAATAATTCTAATTATAATTCTAATTATAATTCTAATTCTAATAATTCTAATTCTAATTCTAATTCTAATTCTAATTCTAATTCTAATTCTAATTCTAATTCTAATTCTTGTTTTGTTGTTTTGTTGTTTTGTTGTTATTATTATATTGTTTTGTTGTCATTATTGTTATTGTTGTTGTTATTTTAACGACCACAGGGATTTGTATTTATGACGGTCGCAGTGTCCCAAAGTCGTGTGATCCCCTGTTGTGAACTTCGGACAAGCCACGTCCAGGGGGAAGTCAAATTCATTGAACACCCATGTTATTAATCTCAACAACTGCAGTAATTCAGTTAATCCTTGGGCCTACTGTGGTGGTCGTAAAACGAGGCGACTCGCTTCACAAATGTCTCGCTTAGCAACCGGTCAATTGTGGTCGTGAGCCAAGGACTACGTGCACTTCGCAGGACGGGACACGTTAAGACTGTGCTCTGCAGGCTGAGCTTCCACAATCTTTCTGTCTCAAGCTGTGTCCACTTGGGGCACCCACGTCCATCTCTTTGGTCCTCCAGAGCAGGGGGTCCCCAACCTCCGGTCTGTGGACTGGTACCGGGCCGCGGCGCACCAGCAACCGGTCCGCACAAACGAGCAAAGCCCCATCCGCGGGATGCGGGCAGCACACAAAACCACGCTCCCTCCGGTCCGCGGAAAAAACACCTCTCTCCACGTCACCGGTCCCTGGTGCCCCAAAGGTTGGGGGACCTCTGCTCCAGAGGACTTCAGCTTCCCAGCCACTCTCCACCTGGGGGGGGACACGTCCACACGTGCGCGACAGCTGGACTCGTGCGGCGGAGACATTCAATGAAATCAACCTATCCTGTGAGAGACAAGTCGACAGGTCACAGGGTGATTTCATCAAACGCCTCTCGCCACGCCATCGAATCGCAGTGAAGCAGGCGCCCCGGTGGTGATGGTGGTGCAGGTGCAGGAATCGAAGCCTAGAGCTGGAAGGGACCATGGAGGTCTTCTAGTCCAATCATCTAGTCCAAGAAGACAGGAGACTTTGTATCATCCCAGGCAAATAGAGGAGGAGGAGCAGCAGGAGGAGAAGGAAGAAAAAGAGGAAGAAGAAGAAGAAGAAGAAGAAGAAGAAGAAGAGGAAGAGGAAGAGGAAGAGGAAGAGGAAGAGGAAGAGGAAGAGGAAGAGGAAGAGGAGGAGGAGGAGGAGGAGGAAGAAGAAGACGAAGATGAAGAGGAGGAGGAAGAAAAAGAAGAGGAAGAGGAAAAAGAGGAAGAGGAAGAGGAAGAAGAAGAAGAGGAAGAAGAAGAAGAAGAGGAAGAGGAACAGGAACAGGAAGAGGAAGAAGAGGAAGAAGAGGAAGAAGAGGAAGAGGAGAAGAGGAACAGGAAGAGGAAGAAGAGGAAGAGGAAGAAGAGGAAGAGAAGAAAAGAAGAGGAAGAAGAGGAAGAGGAAGAGGAAGAGGAGGAAGAAGAGGAAGAGGAAGAGGAAAAAGAAGAAGAAGCGGAGGAGGAGGAAGAAGAGGAAGAGGAAGAAGAGGAAGAGGAAGAGGAAGAAAAAGAGGAAGAGGAAGAAGAAGAAGATGAAGAGGAAGAAGAAGAGGAAGAAGAAGAAGAAGAAGAAGAACAACAACAACAACAACAACAAAACAACCACAACAACCATCATGCAGCTGTGAAGGTAGTTGCACTGTTTCTACATGGGCGACTGACTGTCCCCTGCCCAGTCCAGAAAACAGAACGGACCGGCGTAAAGCACAACGCCCGAGGTTCCTTCTGGCTCCCTCGTTCTGAGAAGTCTCTCTCTGCCTTTGCACCCAGACAGAGTTCTGCGCCTCCCACTTACCGCAACTCGCTTCGGCACGGCAGAGAGAAAAACTTGTCCGAAAAATCCTTTCCAGCCCCTCCTCAGTCGCCGGGACGTCTCCGCGTAGACAGAAGCCCCGGAACGCTACGTTTTACAAACCCGTGAAGCTCCCTAGTCCCGGTTGCAACCTACCAGCTGTTGCAGCTCCTCTGAATCTTGCTACCGGGCGGGTGGGCTTTCTCCTGGTGCAGGCAGGGACACAGGGCCGGCTGGACGCACTGCCCTTCGTGGTCCAGCGCCAGACCTTCCGGGCAGTTGCATCCAGCCACACAGGCAGGGTGGAGGTCCTCGCAGATGCCGAATTTTTCCGCCGGAAGGTCGGCGCAGGTTCTTCCACAGGGGGTGGCGCATTCTTGGTAGACCTGGCCCCCAGAGCACTGCACCG